CTAATCACATCCTGGCTGACGGACCCTTTCTAGCTCTATTTAATTCACCATTAGGGGCTTGATGATTTATGACCCGCTAACCGCATTGACGGACAACACTGCGAATGAATGAAAAAATACTTGTTACTGTACAAGAATCAAGGAATACTCGTCGATCGGATTCTCACTTTTATGCACTAACAACGAACGTAAACAACAGACCTAGTGAAGCAGCCCCGTGAAAACGATTTACGAAGTTGCGTCAACGTTGAGAGTGAGTGAGCGTGAATAACCAGGTGGTGTGGCCATGTTAGCAGAACACGGAGCTAGATAATCGATCTGAGTTACACAGTCTGCTTAACTTGCTCAGCATCCTGGATCAGACATGGCCCTGCCTCGCTGACGCTCCCAAGACACCCCTGTCGCTCATATATCTATCCAACCTATGTTTGAAGCTGCTTTTCACGGCACATTCCTTCACTTCCGAAATGTCCATGACTTACGCCAGGAAAAAAAAACACCCTTAAAACTTATCTGAACGTGGCATTTGGGGTCTGAAGAGGTCATCCTTTTTAATACCTACGACTACAGCGATGAGTTTGAAACTAGTGACGTCATTGCAAATAGCGACCCTGTTTCTAGAGAAATAAACTTATCTCGACTATTATAGCAGGACTTTAAACTTTTATTACAAATTATATATACCGTATCACTCTACGAACGTGGCAGAGTGTATCTCTTGTGTTTACCCAGAACCGTCAACTCGTCCATTCCTTGACAATAAATGTTGAGGGAAATTTACAAAAAAACAGTCGATACTTCATTTGTTAGGAAATTCTTTACTTGTGCATACTAAAATAAACTGTCCATAATTTTTCCCTTTAAGAACCTGCCTGCAATACTAGGCTGAAACTGGTTTCTTGTTACCAAGATACTTCGCAACAGGTATATACAGGTTAGCGGAACGAAGGCGTCTAATTGATCCATTCACTATCCAGGTGCAGTAGTATAACATGTACGAGGCTCTCGTACTCTAACAGCTATACTAGGTTATGTAAGATATAGCAGAGATATTAAACTTAACAAAGGTAACAGTGACACTAGGCCTTTCTATTTTAGAGAATTACATTAGTACTTATGGTAAACATTGGCGGTACGAAATCACCAGAAATTACATTCAACGAGTGACGCAATGCGAAGCTATGTGTTTACATTCTCAGGATTGATAGTTTTTATGGCGGGTGAACGTAATTTTACTACGGTTTCTCATAATTTACCCTCAAGATTAATTATATCCTGTTGTCTTCATTTCAGCATGGATACAACCCTTCGATCCTGTAAGATTCATTTTAACATATATTAACAAAAATAAGTCTTGTAGATTCAATTTAAACGTATTTACAAGCCTTTAATCTTGTGGGTATCGTTTTAACCTGATTCAAACCTCTATTTTGTATATAAACAATTCGATTCTTCCAACAATACATATACGGTATTTTGCTTTCCTTATCAATCTCGTCTCACATCTATTAAGAAATACCTTAAGATATGTTTGGATGAGTACTTGAGTCCTTGAGTCATATCGTTATCCTTAATTTAGTGAGGTGCGTATGGCAACGTCGACAGCATTATCACGGTAGCCATATTAGCGATTACCGCCCACAACCCCGTTATATAAACACACATGAAAACAAATTATCATAATGACGATAGAGTTTCACAATATGAAGACATGATACAAGGTGTTACTTCACGTAGAAAAAAAATATCAGATTAGAACGAATATATTGGGATAAAAAGTCGAATTATTTGATAATGACGGGGCTGCTAAGAGGAGAATTGGGAGGGAAATGGTGGCGGTTTTCACTTTCTAGGAAACTATGTTAGGCTTTGAATAATGGAAACCCCGATATTGGCTGACAAGAGAAACCCCCGCTGATAAGAGAGAACGCCTCCTCTATACCAGTAATACAAGACAAGTTGGCTATTACCATAAAATATTCAAAGTGGAAAATCGACGGCGCGGCGGTTAGCCAATAATACACCCTCGACTCTTGTAACCGCGGGCTAATGTTGAGAGCTGAAGGTTGTGGAAAGTTTTGCCGAGTCAAACCTAATCTCAAACCATATTAGGACGCACTAAGTAATAAGTTATGATTAGTGTAAGAAAATTTATATTTGGGCCATTGATAAGCGTTAATAAGTTACTGCAAGACTCTTTATCAGGATCTAATGTAATGGGTTATTTAGTAGGCATGTGGTGGAAATAACAATGTAATAATGTAAGTAATTTTAAGTGTTCGGTATTAAGGACTTTCTGTAGGAAGGACACTAGTAATCAGAGACAGACAGGCAACAGACAGGGATAACACTTAACAGAAACAGAGTCCACGGCTGTGATAAATACAGACAGACTTGGCGGGGTATGGCCAGACAGACAGCAGGGCGCCGTCGGGTAAGACTGACAGACAGAAGCAAGCAGATACAAAGATATGTAGACGGACAGGCGGGTGTAGGCATGCATAAGAGAGAAAGGGAGAGAGAGAGAGAGAGAGGAACAAGCGGTAGGTAGGACATGCAGAAGAGAGAGAGAGAGGGGGGATGGGGGTAACAAGCGGCGGACGTGGACGTGCAGAAGAGAGGAGTGTGGAAAACAGGTGATTCAAACAGGGGGCAGGGAGGAAGGTCACCCACTACAAAAACTCGTCTCAGACACTTGCCAAAAGCACCCCCATCCAATCTGCTTTCTTCCACTTTTTATACCCTTACTTGTTTTTCCTTTCTTCCTTCCCGTTAATTCACTTTTAGTTTTCATCATCTTTTCTCTAACTGCTCTTCTCTCTTGTAGTCCCTCACCCCCGCTGCTCTCTGTACATTAAGGGACTATCACACTGGGGGAATCTCCTCATTCATCGGGGGAAAAATTACGATACTGCCGCCCTCGATCAGATTTTTCGCCTGAAAATGAGATCTGAGAAAAACAGAAAGTGCGGGAGTTGTCGAGTAAGTTTTGACTGTATTTCAGGTCCATTTGAGGTTTTATAATATTTATAATTGAAAGGCCTTGATTTTATTCAAAGGAATAATTAGGAAACAATTTTAAATGATTTAATTCAAATTCTGTATATTTGCATTAGAATCTAGTTATTTATACCGTATTTGTATTATATTTTTGTTGTTTTTGTGTCGTTTTTATTTACTTATAATTAATATTAGTTATTATTATTAGTTATTTTAGTTTTTTATTTCGTTTATTTGTATTCCTATTGTTTTATTTATTATTCATTTTGTTCATACATTTATCTGTCTTCCTCTATCCAATCTTTCACCAGTAATAATAGTCACATTCTTGGTAGTGTTATGGCGTCTTAGTTTTTGTAAGCGTTCGTGAGGTGTTAAACTCTTCCTCCTCCTCCTCCTCCTCCTCCTCCCCTTGGTCTTGACCCAGCACAGGAAAGCGTAAGAAAAAACTTGTTTGTGTTACTGCCAGCTGACGCAATGTGTTGGGTCATGCGGTCTTGTGTGTCTAGTAACAGCTCATCTCTCAAGTGTTTTTGTTGGGGCTGTTTTTGTGTGATGTTCCGCTAGTGTTTCAGTCATTTTAAATTATCTGATTCATCAATTATTAAAAAATGTTTGAATCATTAAAATTATACCGAATAATCGGGATAATTTTTTAGTTATTCGAACCATTTGATTTAGATTAAATTATCCGAATCACCAGAACAGTACCAAGTTGTTAGAATCAATCTTAATTAGCTGAATCATTAGAGTTATACATAGGTATCAGAATCATACAGCAAGTCCTCATCACCGCTACAGTGTCCAGGAGTCACTGTCGGCCTGGAGTCATCACGGACAAAACCTGATCCTAGTGCCAACACCCGTCTGGCACTCCAGAGTGCTAATTCACCTCGTGACACCAGACAATGCCACCTTGACCATGTGATGCCAGACAGTGCCACATAGGCATTGTTACGCCAGACAGTGCCACATAGGCATTGTTACGCCAGACAGTGCCACATAGGCATTGTTACGCCAGACAGTGCCATCTTGACCTTGTGACGCCAGGCAGTGCCACCTTGACCATGTGATGCCAGACAGTGCCACATAGACAATGTTACGCCAGACAGTGCCACCTTGACCTTGTGACGCCAGGCAGTGCCACCTTGGCCTTGTGATGCCAGGCAGTGCCACCTTGACCTTGTAACACCAGGCAGTGCCACTTAGGCATTGTTACGCCAGACAGTGCCACCTCGGCATTGTTACGCCAGGCAGTGCTACCTTGACTTTGTGACGCCAGACAGTGCCACCTAGCCATTGTTACGCCAGACAATGTCACCTTGGCCTTGTAGAGCCACAGTACCATCTTGGCCTTGTGATGCCAGACAGTGTCATCTTTGCCTTGTGATGCCAGATAGTGCCACCTTGGCCTTGTGACGCCAGACAGTGCCACCTTGGCCTAGTGAGACACTCAGGAATTTCAACGGGGTGTGTGACGTGATCCTTAATGTTAGGGAAGGAGGTATTGAGAGGAAGGGGGGAGGTAGGGACGCAGAGAGAGAGAGAGAGAGAGAGAGAGAGAGAAAATAGAGAGAAAGAAAAAGAGAGGTGATTGGTTAGAGATAAAGAACGAGATAATGAGAGAGAATACAAGGACTATGAACACAAATAAGTTAGTAATTTCATAACCTATTTATTCATAACCTTAAAAGAACGACTTAAGTAATATGCTGTACACCTGTACTCTAACACTCACGTACACTTACTCCTGAGGTGAGATCGTCGAGGATGTAGTCATTATGGTTCACTTACAATCTACGCACATTATAAACCTCAACAAGCTCAGCCGCTTATCACGAGGTTAATGTCCCTGAGCGAGAGCGTTAAGTGGGAACACGAGATTTTTGTACATGTTTGAGTTCAACGGTTCAAACACACACACACACACACACAGGCCATCCTCGATCCATTAAACTTTGTACAAAATAATACCTTCAGATCTGTCGGTCAGTACTCACTTATGATAAAGTCGTACTCCTTGAAGAGCCTTTTCCTGTCGATGGGTCGAGACTCAGGGTCGATCTCGTCGTACTTGTAGTAGGCGATGGCGGCGAGGAGGGCGGGCAGGAACCACAGGGAGGCCGTGAAGACCGAGGCTGCCAGGGGCGCCGTGGACAGTAGGACCCCTGTCATCGTGGAGTCGTGAGAGCAGAGGTGGACGTCTGGGTCCTCGGAGTACTGTGGTGGGACGTCTAGTTTGTCACACCACGAGCTACTAATGTTCTTCCGGCTTATATTATTCCCTAGTTGTTTTCTACACTTCTCTTATTACTATATTTGTTCAGGACCGTTTATTGTTTAAGAGCAGTAAGGTGCGTGCCGCCGTAGGAGTCATTGTCAAGGCTTAGGCACGTTCTCGTTACTGTGTACTATCTTATGCTGCATGTTAAATACTGTCCCGTAAAAAAAATATTAATAAAAATCACACTTATTAGAGTGTGATTTGTGTCTCACGTCGTTGATGAGAGTTACAGGTTGTACCAGCTGAGATATGATGAGACGAGTTAGCGTTTACTCATCACCACTATCCACTACTACTACTACTACACACACACACTGAGCCTCTCGCTACCGTTGCCTCGCCTCGCCAGGACAACACTAAGAGAGAAAGTGAACCCTCATACCCTCCCGTCCCTGGGAGGAGAAGGGAGGCAGGAAGGTTAGAGGGAGGGGAGGGGAGGGGAGTGGGGTGCAGGCTGGTGAGATGGGGAGGTGACGGGATGGGATAATGAAGAGGGGGGGCAGTTTACTCCCACACGACCCTCTAGGCTATTATCCTTCCTGATAACATATGTTTTTACTTCAGTTTTATCCACTTAATATCCCAGCTGGTGTACTGACTATGTTTCATCAAAGTTTTTAGATATTGACTACGGAGACGATGGTCCCAGGTGTCGGGAGGGAAGGTGGTGTGGGGCGAGAAAGGGTTGAATTGCCTGAGGCAAGGAGGAGGGCGTGTGAGAGGGAGGAGAGTGGCGTCTCCACCACAAGCCTGACCAGCTAGATATTATCCTGGTGTAGGCCAGTGGTTTAGGGCCCCTGGGCTAACATCTCTTTTCTCAGTCGCCAGTGGGTAGTTCCCGACATTTCGAAATAACAGATTACCTGGAGGCGACAGCTCACAGGTAGCGGGACGTCCTGGGTTCGTCGTTGTCGTCGGCACAGGTCACTCGAACGATAACTCAGATTACGGAAAAGGATCAACTGGGTTTAAGGATAACAGGACATTCTGGCTTCCTCGTCCTCCAGAACATAAACAAGACAAGCTGGACGTCAGAACTACCCCGAGACTATCGTTGTAAATGCTGGTGATGGAAGTGTAGAGAAACTCGTGACAACATCACTGCCTCCCTAAGAGTCCTCACAGCTCGTGTCGGGTAAAACCTTCCACGGTCAAGTTCGCCTTTCTACCACTCATATGTCACACGATTACCGATTTCCGACACTTGAAGGACACTGAAGCTGCCGCGTCTTGTGTGGCGTCGGGGAAAAGGTGTTGTTGTGTTCAGCAGCAGATGGCTAGTGAGAAGGAGAACCTGACTTTTATTTTCTTTCTTGGCTCCCCATAAATCCTTTTTAGTTATTATTACTTTTTCTCTCGGCAATATAATATGTCAGTCAATAGTTTTCCTAGTATAGCTTTTAGTCGCAGGATAAGATAGTATTTTTGTTCTCTTGTAATTAGGGAAACACCTTTTAGGTTTTATTTCTCGTCCAACAGTCACCAATAATGATGCAACACTCGACTATTTTATATTTTCTTCCTGGTTCACTCTCTAACAGGGGCGTCGTCTCGCCTCACTGACACACTCACTCCTCAAGTCACGGCCAAGGACATACGGCACACACGTGTCCCGTTTTCTTTACAAGAGGATATTACGGTTCGTGATCCTTAGGAGGAAGAAGAAAGCGTCGAGAACGTCCTTGGTGAGAAGATTAAGTACGTTTCCCCTAAGAGGAGGTACTGACGGAGGCGCGGGCGAAGTCGTAACACCCAAGAGTCACGTCAGTTGCATCGAGAGGCGTAAGTATACTGTATGTCGCGTGGTGGAGTTAGTGAACACGTAGAGATGATACCGATGGCGGCGTGGAACAATCAGCAGCCCGGTCCTCCAGCGTCGAGTCGGTAGGTCCTTGCAGTAGCACGAGACCAGCTTTACCACGTTAGCTCCCTCGCGCACTGGGTCGTCTGCCACACTGACTGGCGCACGGCTGCCAGGCGAGGGAGCTCTCCATAACCTACATTCTTCGGCACTCTCTCTCCCATGGGAGGGAGGGAGGGAGAGACGGGCCCGTCCGACTGACGTAGCGGTGGTGGTGAACCGGAGCCCATAATTTGAGATTTCTCACGTACGCATTGCTTGCTTGCCTGACCGTCAGTCCAGCCCGCTGCTAGCATATTGGTATGTCCAGGATTGACGCTGGTGGAGCGCCGGGGATAGTGGTGTTGTCCTGGGATGGTAGGGGTAGAACGGAAAGGAATAGGAAGCAAGGAAGGAGAGACGAGAGGGAGACAGGGAGGGAGAGATATGGAGGTGAGAGGTGATTATTGTGGTACGTGGGATTTATTTACTCTGTCTCTCTCTCTCTCTCTCTCTCTCTCTCTCTCTCTCTCTCTCTTTTCTCTCCTCCCCATTGCCAAAATGTTCAATTTAGGTGAACAGTGAGGCAAAGAAAATGGGAAGTGGAGAACGCAAAAAAAAAATAACAAATGTAAAGAAGGAGGGGATGTAAACAATCAACACAAACAGACAAGTAAGCAACGTGGAGAAAACTAGGAAGAAAAGGGTACGAAAAAAAAACAGGAAGTAGCAGATAACCACAAAGAAAATCGGAAACAACGTAAAAAGAACACGGAAATAAACAATGTCGATAAAATTTAAAAGAAGTAATCACTAAACAACAAACGTGAGGTAAACAACAAATTAGAGAAATATCCAAAGCAGAGAAAACAGGAAGCAGACAACGTAAAGAAAATGGAATGTAAACAGCAGCAAGCAGAAAGCAAGACATGACTATGCACCTCGCCTGGTTAACTATCTTGGTCTGTTACAATTCTCGGAGATTCTTATGTTCAGCTGTTCGTTTGTAGTTAATTTTGCCTTATAGAAACGTAGTTGTTGTTTTAGATGGTTAAGTTGGGTTAATTTAGCAGAGGTGATAGGTTAAATTAAGTTTGGTAAGGTTAAGTTTGGTTAGTTTAGGTTAGGTTCAGTCTGGTGAGCTTTGGCTAAGTTTGTAATAATAGGTTAACTTTGGTTCGGTTAGATTAAGTTTAGTTTGGCTAGGTTAGATTAACTTTGGTTAGAATGAGTTAAGTTTGACGAGGTTAACTAAGATTTACATTGGTTAGGTTAGATAACATTAAGTTTGGTTGGGATTGATTAGGTGTAGCATACAAATCGTTTATAACCAGACATCATAACGTTATCCTCAGTCTAATGTTGTATATATAAGTGAGAATACTTACCATCACCATAGTCCGCCTCTTGTGACCTGAATAATGATATATTTTTGCTGTGAGGGACTACTTACTTTCTTATTTATATACAAACTAACGCAACTAGGAACCAGTTCTTATTCACCCATTTCTCTTGATAGAGGTTAAGGGAACGCGTGAAATATAATTGGTCAAGTCTCAGCAATACCTTGGCCCTCATTAGTACAACCTGCGTAGAGAGGCGTTTTTACACCTGGTGGGAGGCGGTGGGGTTGGGATGGGTGGGGTTGAGGGGAGATGGAGGAGAGGTGAGAGGGTGAAGTTGTGGGGGAGGAGGGGAGAGGCGAGTTAGGGGAGGAGAGTAAGGGGGATAGGGTGGGGAGGAGAATAGGGGAGACGGGTGAAGGGGAGGAGAGTAGGGGGGATGGATGAAGGGGAGGAGAGTAGGGGGGATGGAGTTGGGGTGAATTTAACGTAGGAGTTAAATATCCGAGACCTAGTCTTTAAGGAAGAATGTATCTTCATGTTTGCTTTCTTTAGTGTATCTGAACGCTCACGGTTTGCGTACTTGAGCGCATGCGCGTATACATACATACATACATACATACATACATACATATAAGGAAGTTTACATGGCCATAATTATCTTCACCTATAATCACCTCTTTACCTCCAAGGACCTCTCTCTCTCTCCTACAAGAACCTCCTCTTCCTACCTCCAACTCCAAGCACCTCTTTCCTCCCTTGAAAAATGAAAGCAGTGAGAACTTTTCCTGACACTTTCTCTAACTGTGTTCATTACATCGTGGTGAGTCGTAATGATGTTATTATCTGACAGACAGACAGAGACGGACGATAATGCCAGGTGCACCAGCGTGACGTATAGAGAGGGGGTGTCAGAACGCATCAAGGTACGGATGTTAAGGGAGTAAAGGGACTCTCTCTCTCTCTCTCTCTCTCTCAACACCCTTGACAGTTAACCCACACTAGTGACACACACACACACACACACACACACACACACACACACACACACACACACCACCACTCATACCACACTACAACACTATAACTGAGGGGTTAAACCATCCACATCAAAGGGTTAAACCTTCATTCTTAAGGGGTTAAACATCGCCCTTAATTATTTAAATTCAAACCATCGTTCTCAAAGGGTTAAATAGTCCTCATAAGATTGTTAACAAATTATCATCAAATTATTAAACCATCCTCCTCAGATTATTAAACCCTCGCTATTAAAGGGTTAAAACATATTTCTCAAAGGGTTCGAACATATTCCTCAAAGGGTTAAAATATTCCTCAAAGGGTTAAAACATTCTTTAAATGGTTAAACCATATTCTTCAAAGGGTTAAAACATATTTCTCAAATGGTTAAAACATTTTCTTATAAGTGGCCATTGTTACAGCCACCTTCTTCACCAAGTTGTAATATTATTATGAGGAGTAACCTTGAGTGGAGGCCGACGTGGTGCACTTGGCCTTGAACCGCTGGTGATCGCCTCTCTGGGTAACAAAAGCACAGGAAGGGCGGGTGTGGGCGTGAGCGTGGGCGTGGGCGGGAGAGTTATATAGGGCTACATTGGGTACCTTGATCCTTCCTGTATATTTGGCATTTACTTTTGTTTTCTTTTCCGTCGTTGTTTTCAGATTTTGTTTTTATTCATCTTTTATTAATATCTATTTTGATATATTTTATTTTGGTACTTTTTGGCGTTGGTTCAGTCCTTTGGTGATTTTTATTTAATTGTTTAATATATGAACTAAGAGAGACTACATACTGGAAGACCTCAGTAGTTGGCACACAGACATGTACAAAACAACAACTTTCCAACGTTTTACTTCGATTTATTTATGTAAGTAACGTAACGTAACTAAAGAGCTGAAGAACTATAAACGTTTTTTTTATATACTACAGTATAACCAGGACCGGAGTTTCGACAAGGGCTCCATATAACAAGCACGAGGTATTTATTGTTAAAAGTAATATACCAAGCTGAAAAATGCCTTCTTAACCACTAACTTTAAGAGTTAAAATGACCACTATATGACCAGGCCAATTTGGTAGTAAAACAACAGTTAACGTTTTGTTGGTTACAGTTAACTGATCTGATTTGACCTGACATAACCTGACCTGACTGAATCTGACATAACGAAATTATTCTTTCTTATCCAAACCTAACCTAACCTAACCTAACCTAACCTAACCTAACCTAACATTGAGTCGTCTTAGTTCACATCATTTTGTCACTTTGAAAGAACACCAATAACCCGGATGTGCATTTCCGTGAGTGAGAAAACTGAGGTTCTATGAAAATAATGAAAACGGGAAGTTTTAGCTTTCTCTGGTGGGCAGAAACGAGTTAATGTTCTCACCACACTGCCTCTGTCAACCACAGCTTCCGCCCCCCCCCCTTCCTGACCCACCACAAATACACGGGAACACTTGTCGCCTGACCACACGAGGAAGGACAAATAAGAGAAAATGGTATTGTTGGGAGGCTTCAAAATCACGTTTAAAAAATAATAATTAAATGTAGATGCAGAAAGGCTTGTAGATATCCATGCAAAAGTGTCACTGCTTCGCTATCATATACTGATATCTACACGTGCAGGATCCCGCTACAGAAATACTGACATTGATAAAAAAAATTCCCTATGTCAAGTGTTGTGTCTTACATTGTTGGTAGAAAAAATGTGTAACTATGAAAATTGTTTATATATGAATTATTGATGTACGATTTATGCCACAGTCTGAGAGTGACACAGTGCCTATGCGTATGATTTTGCAGCCGATAAAGTAACTAACTCATGACTCTTTTACTAAACTGGCTCTATGTTTATGGCACTAAAATAAAACTACTGTCAAACAAAGTCTTCGTGTGTTCAAGACAATTCCATAACTTACGGGATATATCAGAAATGTTCACGCCTTATGTACACTTTGAACACTATTCTCTTACTCTTGTATGAAAAAGCACATAAGATATCATTTTTATGCCAGCGTCGGTGTTTTATTCACATTCTCAACAGTTTACAGGTAGACATTATGAGGCTGACTACAGGAATCCTAGCAACAACACTATACATGCACAGCACATCACCCGGGAGCGTGACCAGAGTACAGCACAACACCCGGGAGCCTGACCAGAGTACAGCACAACACCCGGGAGCCTGACCAGAGTACAGCACAACACTCGGGAGCCTGACCAGAGTACAGCACAACACCCGGGAGCCTGACCAGAGTCCAGAGCCTGACCAGTACACATACCCGGGAGCCTGGGCAGAGTACAGCACCACACCCGGGAGCCTGAGCAGAGTACAGCACAACACCCAGGAGCCTGACCAGAGTACAGTACCACACCTGGGAGCCTGACCAGAGTACAGCACAACACCCGGGAGCCTAAGCAGAGTACAGCACAACACCCAGGAGCCTGACCAGAGTACAGCACCACACCCGGGAGCCTGACCAGAGTACAGTACCACACCCGGGAGCCTGACAAGAGTACAGCACAACACCCGGGAGCCTAAGCAGAGTACAGCACAACACCCAGGAGCCTGACCAGAGTACAGTACCACACCCGGGAGCCTAAGCAGAGTACAGTACAACAGTAGTAACAGCAACAGCAGGGATAGCAGTGTTAGTGGAAGCTTAAACAGCAACAGATGCAGGAGTAGCAGCAGCAGAGGCACAGCTTTACGGGGGCGCCACCTGCAGCAGCGGTGGTCAC